TCTGGGTTAATAGCTCTAGCTGTCCTGGCACTCACTCTGTAGTTCAGGCTGGCCTGGAACTTACAGAAAGCCCTCTGCCTCTGCCTCCAACTGCTGGGTTTAAAGGTATGAGCCACTGTGCCCAAGCCCAAAATTTGTCTCTTAGGCTGGCCTCCAACTCCTGGCCCTCTTGCCTCTACTTCTTTAGCAAAAATACAGCAAAAATACCAGCCTGTGTTACCACTACCAGCCCTGCTCAGGTCTTGAAATTGCTCCTCCTCCTGCCCCATCACTCTCTGATCTCTACCTCATAGCTGGGGAATTATAGACCTGAGCTGCCAAGCTTGGCAATATGCAATATTAACAAAGCATATTTTAAAATTAATAACTAATATTACCACCAACTTTACACAGACGTTCATTTTTCTCCCCATATATTCTTTTTCTGTTCTGAGATCATATCAAGCATGCCATATCATATTTAGTTTCTATGTCTGTAACTAACAATTTCCTAAGCATTTTGGGAGTTAGAATTGCTGAGGATTGAACCCAGGGACAATGCTAAGTATGCCCTTTACCACTGAGCCACATCAGGGAGCAAAGGCATGGCAACAGAAACAGTTGATTGTCCTGTTGGTTGAAAAGCTGGGCACAGTGGTTTTAAGCCCATTTCTGGGAAAGCAGAGACAAGCATATCTCTGAGGCTTGCTACCTAGCAAGTCTAATCTACTGGGTCACTTAGATACCCAGCTCAGAAAAGAAGATAGAAGTGGGCACAGTACATGCCTTTAATCCCAACACCGAATAGGTAGAGGGAGGTGGATCTTAGAGGTTGAGGCTAGTCTGGTGTACATTCTGAGTTCCAGGTCAGGCAGAGCCACATAATGAGACGATGTCTCAGAAGGGGATTGGAATGTGGATGGTACTTTAGGAACAACACCTGAGGTTGACCTGTACGCATATGTGTACACATGTGAACATAGGAACATGCATGCACAAGTGCACACACATGCACCACAAAATAAGTAAATAAAGTAAATTAGAGATGAAAAAATCCTTACTTACCAGAACACAATTAAAGAGAGTTAGGGACCCAGCAAGATAGCTCAGTGGGTACTTTGCATGCAAAGCTGAGAACTTGAGTTTGAGCCCCAGAACTTAAGTAAAATGGAAAAATTGATCCCACAGAGTTTTCTTCTGATGGCCACGCCACATACAGACTGTGACATTCGAGCCCCTCCATAACCCACCCCTCCATGATACACAAGTACAAATTTAAAAAAAAAAAAGAGGACAAATAAGACACATAGACACATGGGCAGTGGTGGCGCACACCTTTCATCCCAGCACTTGGGAGGCAGAGGCAGGCAGATTTCTGAGTTCGAGGCCAGCCTGGTCTACAGAGTGAGTTCCAGGACAGCCAGGGCTACACAGAGAAACCCTGTCTCCAAAAACCAAAAACCAAAAACCAAAAAAAAAAAAGAAAAAAAGAAAAACCAAACAAACAAACAAAAAAAAAATTAAAAAAAAAAAGGCATTTCCAGTGGCCGAGTATCAGCTCAGTAGCAAAGCATGTACTCATTATGCATGATGGCCTAGGTTCAATGCCAGCAGCAGCAACAGTGAAAATACAAAAACTATTCCACCAATAAATTCATATTAGAGATTTAAATGAGCTGCCAGCTTTGGTACTTTATTTTTTTTTTTTTTGTTTTTTTTTTTTTTTAGAGACAGGGTTTCTCTGTGTAGCCCTGGCTGTCCTGGAACTCACTCTGTAGACCAGGCTGGCCTCGAACTCAGAAATCCACCTGCCTCTGCCTCCCAAGTGCTGGGATTAAAGGCGTGCGCCACCACCACCCGGCTTTGGTACTTTAAATATCTATCAAGTTCTTTGGGTTGCATGTATGCCCTTAACTTGGAACAATACAAGAAACACAAGCAGCTATTTCTCTCCCCAACTAGTTAAAATGTCTTACTAAGAAAGATGAACTTGCATACAAACAGTGGTCTCAATGATAAGCATGAATCATAATTGCCTGGCTTGTACCTGTTACAAATAGAATCCAGGACTTTAGTCTCTGAGATCTAGTTTAGTACAAGTAGGAACGAACTATGCCCCATACCCCCTCCCAACCTATTTTATTTTACTTGATCATATGTGCCTTTTAAAAACTGGTACATATACATCATCCATAGTGTTGGGTTTTTACAGTCTATCTACATTCTAAATAAGCAATCCAAGGTAGATTCTGACACTGCTTACCCACCTCCCCTTCAATAAGTACTAAGTTGGAGGTGTTAGAGTAATTTTGACAGCTTAGATACCTAACTAAAAAACTCAGGGGTGGGGCCTCATTACTGCACCACTCTCCTGTTAAGACACTTACAGATCTGTGATGGTTTGTTCTTTCTTCAAGGATAATGAAGTAAACAAGCCCTGTGTCAAACCTTCAATGAAAACTCAGTTGTTAGCTAGGCGGTGGTGGCACATGCCTTTAATACCAGCACTTGGGAGGCAGAGGCAGGGGGATTTCTGAGTTTGAGAGTTCGAGGCTAGCCTGGTCTACAGAGTGAGTTCCAGGACAGCCAGGGCTACACAGAGAAACCCTGTCTCAAAAACCAAACCAAACCAAAAAAAAAAAAAAAGACACACAGACACATTCAAACATACAATTCTTCCCCTCAAGGGTTCTCCTCCCCTGTTTAAATTGTTTTCAAAACATTTATTTATATATTTTTATATATTAGTGTTTTCCTGCTTGTATGAGCACCACATGCATGCTTGGTGCCCAAGGAGGCAAGAAGAAGGTGATGGGTCCAAATCAGGCTATAAGTTGCCTGTTGATGCTGGGAACCTGGGGTCTCTGCAAGTGTTCCTTTTAAAAAAATAATTTGTTTATTTTTATTTTATGTACATTGGTGATTTGACTGCATGTATGAGGGTGTCAGATCCCCTGGAACAGGTGCTACAGACAGTTGTGAGTTGCCATGTGGGTGCTGGCAACTGAACACAGGTCTTCTCTGGATGAGCAGCCAGTGCTTTAATCACTGAGCTATCTCTCCAGCCTCTTCTGCAAGTGTTCTTAACACTGAATTATCTCTTTCTTCTTTCATGTTTGGACCTAGTCCCCTTTCAGAAAGCCCAAGCTTACCCCTTCTCTTCTTATTCCTACGTCTGTTTTAGGGAGAAATAGGATCATTTGAGGCTCCCCTAAGTTATAAGAGAACATCTGGTTGCCTCTAGTAGTATACCTTTTTGCTTTACTCTCTGTGGGGCAAGGAGTGGCATGATCTCCTGCTTAGCATTTAGTAGGCATAGCAACAACAGTTTCTAGCACCCTTGGAATTCAACTCTAGGCATTATTTTCCCTATGAAACCCCCAAAGCAACAATGTTTGTCTATAAAGAGATAAGGGTCATAGTCTGCGATCTTCCTCACCCCTTGAGTGAGACTTGCCAACACTCATGAACCAGTGGTTGGGGAAGAACAGATAATTGGGTACAGGTCAGGGTGTCATACCCCATAGCTCACCTTGGTTCCTCTTCCTTGTGGGGAGAGAGGCCTCAAATCTAAAGAACCTGAATTAGCTGTTTTCTGGGATGGTAGAAATTGGCATCAGGTGTCCTGCTTCTGTGAGCAGTGTGTGTTTATGAGTGTTGCCTGCACATACGTATGTGTGTCATGTCATGTGTGTGCCTGGTGCTTGAGGACGTCAGAAGCAGATATTAGATCCCCTGGAACTAGAATTATAGTTTGTTGTGAACTATCATGTGAGATCTGGGGATCAAATGAGGAGGTCTTCTGCGGGAGCAACAGTGCACCTAACCATCGAGCCATTTCTCTAGTCCCAATTTTTACCATTTATCGGAGTAAGGAGATGCTATGGTCTAACTGTGACCTGTCCATAATAGGAGTCTGCTATTAACCCCTCCTTTCACAGTATTCCTTAACCCATGGGATAGCACATTCCTCCCCTGAGATAGATAGAACTGGTTCTGGTCTGTCCGGAGGACAGACATTCCAGGGGCAGCTGCTTCTCTATTAGGTCAAATACATTTCCTGCTGATTTGATTACTTTCCCTCCAAGCCATGCATTTCCAGAAGGAAGGGAACTTTTGCAGGCATGTATTTGCACAGGCGGCCTTCCTCCTCCAGTCACACACACACAGACACACGCAAGAACACACTTTCTTCCCATCCGCCCACAAAGTGTCAGTCACATTTAGAATTTGCACAAATGCACACCCTCCCTCGTACATCACAATGCACACCCTCTCACCCACCTACACATCTCTTCCACAAAAATCACACCTGCTCACATACCCCTAGAAGCACATTCCTATGCTATGCTCAGAGGGGGGGGGGGCGCACTGGCGCTGGCATTGAGTGGGTTTAAGAACTAAGAAACTAACCACTCTTGTATAGCAGGAAAAAAAAAAAAGCAGATCAGAATCCCACAGGTTTCTTCCTGCTTGCCACTTTGGCCCTATAAGAAGAAATACTCAGAGCTAGGAGGGATACTGGAGTGAAATTAAGGAGAAAAATGGAACCAGGATGTGGGGAAAGTGTGGTAGGATTTCCCTTCAGGGAAAGCAGACACATTTTCTGGCAGGATGGTAATGTGTCTCAGGCTTACAGCTAGAATGAGGAAAGCCTCATCCATGACTTGCCTAAGGAGCCAGTTTGACTGATAACAAAGTATAAACCCTTGGGCTAGATAGAATTCCCTATCAGCCCAGGAGGGAAGAACAGGAAATAGAAGCTGCGTTTGGCCTGTAGGTTGAACATCCTCTCAGAATACTTTTTGCAAGGTTAGTTGAAATAAAGAGAAGAGTCTCCTTTACTGGAGTCTTGAAGTCCCTTCTGGAGAATAGATAGGGAAGGTCCCTTGAGAAGCTAGGGGTGACAGTGTAGAACAGTTCTGGCTTCAGTTCCAGACTGTCTGACACTCAAAATTCCAAAGCTCTGGAAAGGAGCAGGCTTGTGTGCTTTTCTTTTCTTCCCCCCACCCCCCTTTCAGGAAAGCGTCCTGGAGCCATCCAAGAGTTCCCAAGAAAATTGGCAGAGCGCTCAGCAGGAAGTCAGGCCCCTGCTATCCAACTGTTGACCAGACTTGCCAAGTGTCTTCCTATGCTGCCGCCTGGGGGCGCCCCCAGCTGGGTCTGCGGCTGCCGCCAGCACTGCTGTTATCATTAAGATAATTAATAAACATGCACTGATGGGCCAAGTGGAGGAAGAGGGAGGCTCCTGCTGCTTAGGAGAATCCCTGGAAAGACAGGGAGATCATGGGACGTCTCACTAGCTAGTTCCTTCTTCCCATCCAGGACCCCTGGAAAGGACCTTGTGGGTTGGCCTCCAGGAGGCAAGAAGAGGTGAGGACAAGAAAAGGACTTGCCAGGTGCGATTTGGAACCAGCTCTGCATCTTCCTGACAGGATGTCTGTGAGCAGGCCACCTCCCGTGATTACTGGTTGTGGAGCAGGCAATTATTCATTCCTTTAACAAGGATCTGCCTATTTATTTATGGAGTGCCTACTGTGCGCAAGGTGGTCTTCTAATAATAGCAGATGTTTCACTAGCTTGTATGAAGACAATGCCAGTGTTCAGACTATGTCCCAGAAGTGGGGGGTAGAAAGAGGAAGCAAGTAGGAAGAATGACAGCCCCCAAATACACGGCGATTTGGCTTTGGCCTTCGTAGGCTAGCAATGGGGATGGACACCTGAGAATTACTAAACAGATCTTGGGAAAACTCTAGATGGATGACAAACTGGAAACACTCTGGGAAGGTGGGTTGGAGAGAATGGTCTATTCAGTAGGAGAATACTTGGCGATTAAAGGTAGGCTACAAAGAACGAAAAAAAAAAAAACTGTGCGAAAAGCTTAACGAAAGAGGTACAGGGATGCTAGCAGTTCCTGGGGGAGCTGTCACAGCCGTCTTGGGGACACATGAGGGTTGTTGTGTCTAGTAGGTGCTTTGTGTTCTTAGAGGGTTGTGCCGGAGTCTGAGGTCAAGATTTAGAAGAGTGCTGGGGTGTGGCAGGAGCTTCCAAGCGGGGTTCTGAGGAGAGGATGGGGTGCCGCGCTGGAGACTGGAAAGTATTTGGGGAAAGGAGGGGCGTGGCCGGGTGCCTGTCCAGGGAGCGAGGCAGGTCCTCCGCAGCGGCAGCGGAGTGGCCCGGGCGCGGGTCCGGCTGCGCCGTCTGGAGGTGGGCGGGAGGTCGGGCGGTAAGGGCTGAGGTTAGCGCTCGGCTCTCGCCACCGGGGCTGCGCGGGGGGGGGGTGGGGGAGCGGCGGCACGAGCTCCGGGGGGGGGGGGGGGGCGGGGAGGAGGCGGCGGCTCGCAGAAGAACATGAATCAGCGGCGGCGGCGGCGGCTGTGGAAGGAGCGCGGTGGCCCAGCCGCGGCCCCGGGGACTCCTCGCTGCTGACGGCGGCGGCCGCGGCTCTAGCCCGCCGCGGGTCCGGGACGCCCCGGCCGAGCGCCGCCCCCCGCCCCTCCCGCGGGCCTCCCGCCCCTCCTCCGCCGCCCTCCTCTCGGCGCTCGCGGGCCGGGCCCGGCATGGTGCGGCGTCGCCGCCGATGGCGCTGAGGCGGAGCATGGGGCGGCCGGGGCTCCGGCCGCTGCTGCTGGCGGGGCTGGCTTCTCTGCTGCTCCCCGGGTCCGCGGCCGCAGGTAGGGGTGGCCCGGGAGGCGGCGGGAAACGGGGGGTTGCTGAGCGGCACGGCTGAGGGGCTCAGCCCAGGGTCGGCAGCGGGTGAGACCCGGGCCTGGGCCGGCCAGAGGTTGGGGTCGGTGGCCCGGGCTGGAAGGCCGAGGGTAGGACGCAGCGGGTGTTGGCTGCCAGACCTCCGGCCGCGGCCCCCGCCCCCAACTTTCTCGCTCCCGGGGCTGGCCGGGTGCAAAGGAAGGGAGTCGGGGGTGTGAGCAGCCGGGGGTGCTTAGGATTGTGTTTTCCCGCCTCTATGTTCCTAGTTGTTTGCTCCCCTTTCTCTAGTCCTGAGGACCCATTCTGCCTTCCGCACACCCCCGAGGTCCCACTTTGAAACTACAGGGTCAGGGTTTGAGCACCCAGGGTTGTGAAGGTGCTGGATTCTAAAATACCTCTGCCCGTACTCTAGTTCCTGTGGCCCTTGGCGCTCCCGGAAACCCGAATGTTGAATAGCTTGGGCTGGGTGAAGGTTACTGCTCCTTGTGAAGATTAGCTTTACGTTGCCACATAGCCACTGAGGCATTTCCCCGAGGCAGGAGGGCAGCACCTTTGTCCGAAAGTTCCCACTGCACACATCTGGGACTGCTGGGTGTAGAAAGGGTGTGAAGCTATGTCTCCTTGTCCTGTAAGGGGAAAGGGTAGGGTAGAGACGGGGCCCCGGCAGCAGCCATACAGCTAGTATTTCTTAAAAACTGAGTTCTTTGCCACATTAGTCTCTCGAGGAAGGGAAGATAAAGAGTGGAAAGTATTTGCAAGCTCCGAGGTGCTCAGAGGGCCCAGTAATTTATCTAGGGTTACACAGTAAAGAGCAGAAAGAAAAGGTCTGGGTTTCTTTTATGCAGATTTTTCACCTGCCCATCTGTTTAAAAACATGCCAAGAGAGTGTGTGTGGGCGTGTGTTTATGTATGTCCACCCTTGCCTGAGGAGAGTAAGATTCTAATAAGTGGGCCCTGTTGATGCCACAGTAGCTTGGGGGTCTTGGGGCTTTTGCTTAGGGCCCCACCTCTCCCTTCTGCCTCCCATCTTCCTAGCACCCGCCCCAGCACACATTCAGGTATTAATAGAGCAGGCGGCTGCCAGGAAGGCTGCCATGTGTTTGATCTGACGTGGTTTTGTAGCCATATGTTCTCCACTTCAGGGGAGCACTCCCTCCTTCCTTTCCTCAGCCTCCCTTCATTTTACAGGGTGGAGTCAGGGATACTGGCAGCACTTCATGGGCTTGACTGACACCCTGGGCAGAGAGCTGGCAGCCTGTTGCACTGGTTGGGTAGACCAGTCATGCCCAGGACAGTGCCTGCTCAGGGAGACTGACAAGTCTCCACCGCTTCAGCTCGGTTTGCCATCTGGTGATTGGGCAATAGGGAGCTATGGGGAAGAAGTCCTTGGTGCAGGGAACTGGGGTGATAACAGAAAACTAGAAGTCTTGTCATACCCTCTCTCCCAGCCTGGGTTCAGGCCACCATCCTTCCCACAGAATCCTGCCTCTGCTTCCTTGGCGATGACTGAGAATGAATCTTTAGTATAGACATTGCTTTCTAGAAGAGAATGAATGGAAGATGTTCCCAGAGACAAGGGCTATTTCAATCATACTGACTGACACCTCCCCTTGCCCATCCTTCAGGCCTGAAGCTCATGGGAGCCCCAGTGAAGATGACAGTGTCTCAGGGGCAGCCAGTGAAGCTCAACTGCAGTGTGGAGGGAATGGAGGACCCTGACATACACTGGATGAAGGATGGTGCTGTGGTCCAGAATGCAAGCCAGGTGTCCATCTCAATAAGCGAGCACAACTGGATTGGCTTACTCAGGTGCAGGACTGTGGGGGACAGAATGGGAGGACAGCTGGGGGACAGGCAGCCTGTGCCCTGAGAACTGAGGTTTTGTTGATGTCTAGAGGTCTGTGATTGTAAAGTTTGGCAAACTGTGGAACCTTCTAGAAAATGACCATGCTAAATCCATTAAGTCTGCTCAGCTGAGTTGCCCCTCCTTTTTTTTTTTTTTCCAGACTGGGTCTCACTATGTAATACTGATTGGCTTCGAGCTCACCCTCTCTTTGTTTCAAACTCATAGTCTATTTGTCTCAGCCTCTAGGGTGCTGGGATTAAAGGATCTGGCTCTCTTGACTCTGGAAAGTAAGCCTGATATCCTGTTTCCACAGCCTAAAGTCAGTGGAGCGGTCTGATGCCGGCCTGTACTGGTGCCAGGTGAAGGATGGGGAAGAAACCAAGATCTCTCAGTCAGTATGGCTCACTGTTGAAGGTGAGGAGGCAGTGCTAGCTGTATGGGCCATTTGGCTTGGCGCTAAGACCCATAACTCTGCAGAAGAGAGCTCAGTATAAGCTGGACTGCCCTACTGCCTTCTGTAGCTTAGAGCAGTGGTTCTCAACCTTCCTAAGGCTGTGACCCTTTAATATAATTCCTCATATTGTGGTGATCCTCAACCATAAAATGATTTTTTTGCTACTTCATAACTGTAATTTTGCTATCATTATGAACTGTAATGCAAATATATTTGGAGATAGAAGTTTGCCAAAGGGGTCTCAACCAACAGGTTGAGAACCACGTTGGGAGGCACATCCAGATCTCAGGGACTCTACCTGCTGGAGTCTGGGTGTTTAAGAACCACGGAGGCCACTAGGACCCACAGTTTCTGACGTCCAGTCTGTTTAGCCTTCTGTCAAGCATTCAAACTGTCAAGCATTCATCAGAAGCTGGACAAGTTCTGCCAAGTGGACCTACCCAAAGGGGGGAGGGGGTGGGGGAGGGGATGGGGGAAGGGAAGGAGGCTCCACAGCTGCTGGAGCTCAGAGCTGTGCAGCCCTGGAAAACAAAGTGACTAAGAGAGTAACAAAGGGCCTGAGCCGGAGCTGGGGCTGCCAGCAGAATTCTACTAAAGCTCCACCCACTCCCCCTTCCAGGGTGCTCCTCCCCACCCCAGCCTCTCCAATACTCTGAGAAGGGTTGTCAGAGCAGGTCTGGGAAGGGACTGTGGGGGCTGGCAGCAGAAGAGGAAGATGAGGAAAACGAAGTCCATACTGCCCCCTCCCCACACCTGAAGCCTGTTTGCAGCTGACCTGTTCTTAAGGGTCCTGTGGTGACTGCCCATTACAGAGTACTTCAAATGGAGATGAACCTGTGATTTGAGCAGTAGGAAGCTAAGAGGTGGCAAGGCTAACTCCCCCTCACATTTTCTCCCTAGGTGTGCCATTTTTCACGGTGGAACCAAAAGATCTGGCGGTGCCACCCAATGCCCCTTTTCAACTGTCTTGTGAGGCGGTGGGTCCTCCAGAACCCGTAACCATTTACTGGTGGAGAGGACCCATTAAGGTTGGGGGACCTGCTCCCTCTCCCTCTGTTTTAAATGTGACAGGTGAGCAGCCTCAGGAGGGGGCTTTGAGCCAAGAATGAGCAGCTGGGTCAATGCTTGGGGGGGAGCACTGTAGAGTTGGGATCTGCATAAATCTGAGTTTGTTGTTGAATGTCCAGAGCAAATCCCAGTGTAAGGGTGCGTGAGCCGTGCCATTGCTAAACTCATTAGTCGGGTGTGCTCTGCTGGCTGAGTGGGCTGATTAGGTATGATCCTGCTGTGTGGTTAAAGAGGGTGCTGGGGTCTCTTTCTTCACCCACAACAGTCTGGTCCTTGCACAGCTGGCCATGAGAGAGGAATTATATGAGATCAGGGACACCCATCCTCTCCCCCTCCCCAGGGAAGGAGCCAGAAAGCAGCCCACGCAGAGCTAGGGAGGAGTGTCTGGCAAACTGGGAGCTGATGGCTCAGGCTATACCAAGGGAAATGGGGGAGGGTAAAGGGGGGAGGGAGGCCAGCACAAAAATACAGGGCCTCCTCACCTGATGAGCCTTTCTAGAAAATTTCCTAAATAAGCGTATCTATTCATATCCTATACAGTTAGACCCCAAGCAGCCACACTGCACATTCTCCTAGACTCCCCAAGATCCTGAGCATATCCATCTCATGTTTGTGAGATTTGCTGATCTGTGAAACTAAGTGTACTGTTTCCAGATGAGTCTAAGCATGAAAGGGAAGTCCCCGGGGATTTGCATCTTGATAGAGGTACTATAAGACCTGCTGGTGCCAAGGCAGGATCTGTTCAGAGAGGAGGAAGCTGGTTCTCAGCTTCCAGCTTCCCTCCACGTGCGTGGTTGGGACCCTCAGGGAGGCAGCCCTGTAATAATAAGCACTCAGTGGAACTCCTGCTGCACGTACCACACTGTGCTGGGCACTGTGGGGAATGGGAGGGAACAAAGACTTGAGGATGGTTGGGTAGACAAGACACAGACCGAGGAGCTGACTCGTACAAAGCTGAGTCTCCAGATTTGACAGTGACAGGACAGAGAACAAAAGGGCTCTGGTGTGCACAATCAAGGAGTTGCCAGAAAAGGGAGGTGCCCTGTGCTGCTTGTGGGAGATGGGATTAAGGTGGGAGGCATAGTTACAACATTTCTCCAAGCTCTCCCAGTGCAGAGTGCACTTTATATCTATTATTTTAAAATTCTCCCATTCATTGGATGGGGAAACAGCACCATCCAAGCCTTTTAGACTGCAAAGTTCTTGCTCCATTCCACCATACCCCACCGTCCAACCCCTTCCTTTGGCTAGAGGGGCTTCTAGGATGTTCTGGCAAGAGCCTCAAATGAAGTCCCTCCTTCCTAAACTCAAACTCAATGGGAGTTGCTGCTTGGGGGATTCACTAAGGTTTTCTGGCCCCAGGAGTGACCCAACGCACAGAATTTTCTTGTGAAGCTCACAACATAAAAGGCCTGGCCACTTCCCGACCAGCCATTGTTCGCCTTCAAGGTAGGGGGACACAGGTCGGGGTGGGAGGGGATGGGGGCATTGAGAAAGGACAGGGCCAGTCTCAGCCAGCTGCCTAGCAGTAAAATTGGCTGGCTTTCCAGCTTGCAGCAGCTCTGCAGGAATCTCCAGGTGAGGAGTAATTGGCATAGCTCCCATTCCTAGTGGGAGCACCTGAGACCCTGCCACAGCTGAGACAGGAATAGAATCCTGACGTCACAGCAGATTTCCCATCACGAAGCAGCGTCCCTGGGAGGGAGGGAGGAAGGGAGCCAGCAGGAGATGGTCAAGGCTTTTATTCAACCTTGTTTCTGTCTTCTATAGAAGGAATGGGGATGGGGGCAGCAGCCTAGCAGATGACAGAGTGTACCCAAAATGTTGGTGCAGAGGGGGGGGGAGGGAGGAGAGAAGCCAGTGTGCAAAGGCACTTATCTGTGGAAGACGGGCAGTTGCCTGTTTCGTTTTTCTCCTTTTGTAGTCCCAGAACACCCCTCCCCCGTCTTATTCTTTGGTCAGGGCCTTTTATTTGGGTAGCCAGCCTCTGCCCACAGCCTAGGCCCTCTCCCAGGTATGAACAACAATGCCGTGCTGGTGGCTGGCTTATGCACCCCTATGCCTTGGATGGGCTGATTAGCGGTCTTTAGCAAGTGCTCCATGCCTTAGGATGAAATCAAGCCTTGACTCCCCTGCCTTCCTCCCTCCCCTCATATTTTGACTCTGCACTGACACTGAGTCCCTATCCACAGCACCGCCTGCAGCCCCTTTCAACATCACAGTAACAACGATCTCCAGCAGCAACGCTAGCGTGGCCTGGGTGCCAGGTGCTGACGGCCTAGCCCTGCTGCATTCCTGTACTGTACAGGTAGGCTGAACTGAGCACAGCAGGCACTTGCTGACTGACTATGCTCGTTTTTGGCTACACTTATAACAGTGTTGTTGCACTTACTAGGCCTGCCTGGGAATCTGGGTCTGCAGCACTATTCAGATACATCTTCTCTGTAGGACGAGCCCAGGCTACTGTCTGCTCTGCACTTCAGTGGGGGGGGGGGGGGCAGGGGGGACGCTGCAAACAGACGGGCTCCAGGCCTTGTGCCTTCTTTATGCTAGAAAGCAGATCGGAGCAGGCTTGGGTGTCTGGAAGAGTATTTTCTTTCTTTTAATTTCCCTTCTTTCAATGTTAAGAGTCAAACCCAGGCCTGTCACATACCAGGCAAACGCTGTACTAACACGAAGATCAAAGGGTTTTTCTTATAACATAGCTGATATTCCTCCCTCTCACATCCTGCCACTGCCTCTAAAGAGAACAAGAGGACGAGAAAGGGTGCCGAACCCTGGCAAAATTTATCTATCTATCTATCTATCTATCTATCTATCTATCTATCTATCTATGCTGGGAATAGACCCAGGGCTTTGCATGTGCTAAGCAAACACTCTGTGACTGTGTTATTCCAGTATTTAGTAAGAACCTTTGAAACTCTTCTGATCATGTTCCCTAGACAGGGTGGGCCGTCTCCTGGATTCACCCGGGCCACAGCCCTTTATCCCAAGGGCAGAGTATTCGGGGCTAAGGGACAAGCTTAGCTGGTTCATCGTTCGTTACTGCCACATAACACTATACATTCAGAATGTCTTGCCCTGGCTGCTCTAGGTCTGAGTCCAAGGCTTGAATGGGCTTCTTCTCTGGCCCACCCTTCCAAAGGTAGACCTTGCTGTGATGTGTGTACCTCTGTGTCTAATGACAGCCACTGGGGGTAGTGGGTGGGGAACAGCCAGCATTGTTCACATCCTTGTACTGGAAGCCTGCATGCTGAAGGCTCCTTCCTGAGGCCCAGCTCTTCCAGGGTTCTGGAGGGGGAGTGTTCTGGAGAGGTAGCTTAGCAGGTAGGAAGCCCTGGATCTCATCCCCAGCACCACCTAAGGCCAGGCATTGTGTCATTTCCTTTCATGGCACTCAGGCAGTTCAAGGATATTCTTGGCTATAGAACGAATTCTAGGCTAGCCTGAGCTCCTGAGACCTCCTTAGGGGAAGTAGGAGGAGGGAGAGAGACTATGAGAATGACAAGAAACTAGACTAAGGATAAAAATGCAACGGAGTAGCACTTGTCTGGCTTATGTTAAGCCCACTCATGATCTCCAACACTTCTGAATAAATAAGTAAATAAATAAATGTACTGGATGATTTTTAATGCTTAAGTATTGAACCCTGGAGTATAAGGATTTGTGTGTGTTGAGAGTTGGGGATGCCAAGGGTTGAACTCAGGGCTTTTTGAACTAACATTAAGTGAGTACTCTGCTGCTGCACTTGCCCCTCCCCCCCCCAGGCACACACCTAAGCCTTCATTTGTATTCTTGTTCTGGACCCCGAAAATGGAAGGGGAGAAGCTGGCTCACAGGGCTCTCTGCTGCTCATTAGTCTTACTCTGAGAAGCTCTGAGCTTTGGGGCAGCGAGTAAGCAGAGATGGCAGAGAATCTGGAACAATCAAGCACTAAGTACAAATAGGCAAGCAGAGTTTTCTGGAGTTACTGAGATAGCAAGAAAGTGATGCTAGCCTGGCATAGTGGTGCACGGTTTTAATCCATCACTCAGGAGGCAGAGGGAAGCAGATCTCTGAGTGTGAGGCCAGTCAGGGCTACAGAGTGAGTTCCAGAACAACCAGGGCTACACAGTGAGATCCTGTCTCAAAAACAACAAAAGGGACACCTACCTGTCTTGACTCCCTGCTCTTTGTTGAGTACTGAACTCAGAGCCTTGCCCATGAACAGTCTACCACTTGAGCAAACTCAGTCTCAGAGGAAGTAGGACTTCTAGGAACAGCAGGTCATCCAAGAAACGAATAGTATCTGCAAAATACAGAGGGTGAGTCTGGTCTGGACCTGTGGTAGAAACAAGCTGGATAAGGTATTTGCTGACAGTCTTAGAGGAGACATTTGTTCAGGCTCCCGTGCCATACCTATCCTGTCTTCCATCTCATTTCAGAGACCTGGTTCCTTACCTAATCATCTCAGGTTTGTGCTTTTCTGGTTTTTGTTGTTTTCTGAAGGTGGCACACGCCCCAGGAGAATGGGAGGCCCTTGCTGTTGTGGTTCCTGTGCCGCCCTTTACCTGCCTGCTTCGGAACTTGGCCCCTGCCACCAACTACAGCCTTAGGGTGCGCTGTGCCAATGCCTTGGGCCCTTCTCCCTATGGCGACTGGGTGCCCTTTCAGACAAAGGGCCTAGGTAAGGAACTCAGCAAGAGGGGCGGGACTGGAAAGGGAAGGTGTCATTCATTCAGTGAGCGCTTTTCGAATACCTACTGTGTGCTACTGCATACCACTTTGTATCTCGTTCTTATACGAGGAATAGATAGATAAGCAAACTGGAAAAGACAGGATAGCGTAAGAGTACTCCAGGGTGCCCAAGCAAAATCCCCTAAAGAGAGCTAGAATACAGCTTACTGGTTGACCCCTTGGATAGAAGTTCAATCCTCAGTACCCCTAAAAAAGAAAAGATCCTGCTGGGATGGCCAGACTTCTGACATTGTGACCAACATTATCCCTAAAGCTCAGGCTGAAGAACCGCAGAATTTAGTTGAAAAAGAAAACTCATGTTTTAAGTAAGTGTATGAATTTCTTCATTTCATAAGGCCCCTGGGCTTTGGTTGGAAAGGCCTGGGAGACAGAGGCATGAGTAAGGCCTGCAGGATAAAAAGGAGCCGTACAAATATTTTGTGGGAAAGTGCAGCAAGGTAAGGAAGGACACAGCACGTCAGAGGACACTGCCTAGGCTTGTGGTTCTCTGCGTGTTAAGTGAGGCTGGGTGGGGGAAGGGCAAAGCAGTACCAGGGCGATGAAGAGTCACACTATAGAGATGTGGGGGCTGGGCCTCTTCTGTCCTGCACAGGCTTCCCTCCCCAACACTGGGGATGTTAGCAGCTGCAGCTGGGATGCAAGTCCTTTCCTCAGCCTCTGCTTTCTGTTCAGCTCTTGGTTTGTGTGGGATAATGATGGTAGGGAAGGCAGGGACTTCTAAGAGCTTTCTTTCTTTGGGTACAGCGCCAGCTAGAGCTCCTCAGAATCTCCACGCCATTCGTACCGACTCAGGCCTTATCCTGGAATGGGAAGAAGTGATTCCTGAGGACCCTGGGGAAGGCCCCCTAGGACCTTATAAGCTGTCCTGGGTCCAAGAAAATGGAACCCAGGTAAGGGAAATAGTTCCTTTTGCTACCCCTACTGTGCTGGAGAGTCTACCCTGTACTTCTGAGTCTTAGAAGAGCTTTAGAATGTCCCTGGAGGATCTGGGGCTCCCACAGACAGCCCCAGGGAATACCCTCCACCTCCTGGCAAGGCAAGCTCCCTGTCTCATTGGTTTGTCTCTTCTCTGGGATAACCTTGTGGCCACTTTGTATGCAAATCAGGAAGCCTATCTCTCCCCCTGCAAGGAGGGAGGGGGCAGCAGGGGACACAGATAAGGCTTTGTCCCCAGTTCCAGCTCTATTTCCTGTCATCTTGTAGAGGTGAGATTTGTTTATGTTTCAGAGAGGCCTCTTCCCTTCAGTCCTGGGCAGGAATGTGGTGACTCCCAGGAGATTGTGTTCTGTAGCACCTAATACTCACTGCACCCCTAAGGTTCTCTGACTCCTTAGCTGAACTTTCTTCTGCCCTCCCAGCCCAGCTGGAGGCTTCCCCAGGCGTAATGTGAGGGTGGGGCTTTTCCTGGCTATAGGATGAGCTGATGGTGGAAGGGACCAGCGCCAATCTGACCGGCTGGGATCCCCAGAAGGACCTGATTTTGCGTGTGTGTGCCTCCAATGCAATTGGTGATGGACCCTGGAGTCAACCCCTGGTGGTGTCATCTCATGACCATGCAGGTAAGGCATAGGGGACAAGGCTTTTGCATGCGCGCGCGCACACACACACACACCACACACACACACACACACACAGTCAAACAGTCGAGAGGAGATCCTCCCTTTGCCTTGGTTACACTGCAGGTGACAGCAGTGAGCCTGTCACTGCTCAAGTACAAATTCTTGAATCTTTGAGGTCTTTTTGATTTGACACTCTGCTTGGCTTAGAAAATCTTTTGGCAAGGATAGGTGAGGTGACCATCCTGGGAAAGCCCTAAAAGGACATTTTAGTGTCAGCCCGGCTCATGGCATTGCCTTTCCCTCTCACAGGGAGGCAGGGCCCTCCCCACAGCCGCACATCCTGGGTGCCTGTGGTCCTCGGTGTGCTCACCGCCCTGATCACAGCTGCTGCCTTGGCCCTCATCCTGCTTCGGAAGAGACGCAAGGAGACACGGTTTGGGTAAGGAAGTGGGACTGTGGCCAGTGAAGTAGGTGGTGACAGAGGGCCTTGTAATTTACCTGAAGTCCTGGGTTTCTTTTTAGGCAAGCCTTTGACAGTGTCATGGCCAGAGGGGAGCCAGCTGTACACTTCCGGGCAGCCCGATCTTTCAATCGAGAAAGGCCTGAACGAATTGAGGCCACATGTGAGTGCTGGACCTTATAAAGGGGAAAGACAGGCTACCTTGTGTTCCTACCTCTTACCAACTCATTTGTCCAGCTAAAGTGCCTGAACCTTGATAAGTCTCAGAGTAATGAAAAGGGACACCCTAAATTGCTTGGTGGAGCTTAATCACCACAATGTGGGAGATTCAGACTCTGTGCTGAGGGCAGAAAGCTGGGTGGAGATAGTAGGCTGGAGTGTGGATTTGACTACAGCTCTGTTTCCCTTTCACCTCCTCCCTGCAGTGGATAGCCTGGGCATCAGTGATGAATTGAAGGAAAAGCTGGAGGACGTCCTCATCCCAGAGCAGCAGTTCACCCTTGGCCGGATGTTGGGCAAAGGTGTGGGGGTTGTGGGGGACCAGCATGAGTTTGCCTTCTCTGCATGGGTTGTTCCAGTTGCTTCCAGGGTGTGAATTTGGGTTAGCTCCTATAAACAAGATATACCTATGGATGCCTGATTTAGGGGTATTACAAGGAGTCATGGTCAGAGGCAAGGAACCATTTCCAACACAGACATCTCTAAGACCCTTAATTGATGATTTTATGACCATATGAAGAGTCACCTGAGAGGGAAGGGTGTAGAGAGCCTGAGATGTCTTTCCCTGTCTGTTGATTTCTTGCTTAGGAGAGTTTGGATCAGTGCGGGAAGCCCAGCTAAAGCAGGAAGATGGCTCCTTCGTGAAAGTGGCTGTGAAGATGCTGAAAGGTGACTTAGACAATAGGATTTGTTGCCAGGTTGGGAGGAGGGGTAAAGGGAGGGACTGATCTGGAGCAGACACCACTCTGCCTGAGGTTTCCCAAGAAGCTACTCAGCACTAGCAGGGATGCTGACTGCACCATGTGAATAATTCAAAAGCATAAGCCCACGCAAAGATTCGTGCCCCAGCTTTGCTCCCTGCTGTCAGATGTTCACGGTTCACTCTTGGGTGATCACAGCTGTTATTGGTGGAGCTCCTGAGCTGCCAAAACCTAAGGGAAAGGCCAGTTTCCTAAAGGGAAATCTCTGCACTGGGGAGGCTGAGGTAGGAGATTGTTACAAGTTTGAGGCCAACCTGGCCAGTGTAGTGAGACCTAAAAGAAAAGTTTAAAACCTCAGCCTGGAGTGGTGAACCTAGTACTGGTGAGGAATAAAGCAGAAGGATCACAAGCCTGAGACCAGGCTGAGCTGCAGAGTGAGCCCTGGATCAAACAAGCAAAGGATAAAAAAGTGCATCGGGAAATGTTAGCAGGCAGAGAAAATGTGAGACAGCACCAGTCCCTGGCCCCCTGTGAATCTGGGCTTCTGTGAGTCTTAGGAGTCCTGAGAGGGTGGCAGTGAGTGCTGAGCCTTGTTTCCATTCCTTCCCCTTCCTTTCTCCCAGCTGACATCATTGCCTCAAGCGACATAGAAGAGTTCCTCAGAGAAGCAGCTTGCATGAAGGAGTTTGACCATCCACACGTGGCCAAGCTTGTTGGTGAGCCCATTTGGAGGAGGCAGATATAGAATAGGGCTAAAAATATGCTCCACCAACGTGAGAGGGCAGCCTGGAGGAGAAAAGTTTGGCTACCCAGTGAGCAAGCAGGTAGTTAGTGAAGTCCTGTCTGAAATCTGACTGGAAGGAGCTGAGCTTGAAATGGCTCATGTGGGTGGAGGAAAAACAGAGAAGATGTGCTCAGAGCAAGGGCCAGCAGGCAGAGCAGAGCCCTTCATGAGTAGTCCCCAGACAGGAGTAACAGTGCCAGGGCTAGAGATGGAAGCCAGCAGGTAGGGAGGGCCTGTGGCAGACACCTAGCTGTCCATAGGCCTTCATGTGCTTAGTTCTTGACTCTCCCTTGTCTCCCAGGGGTGAGCCTCCGGAGCAGGGCTAAAGGTCGTCTCCCCATTCCCATGGTCATCCTGCCCTTCATGAAGCATGGAGACTTGCATGCCTTTCTGCTCGCCTCCCGAATTGGGGAGAACCCTTTTGTGAGTGCCTCAGGTGGGGGTGGCCAGGAGGAACTGGGTGGGAGACTGGTGCCTGGAAAAGGGACAGAGCCTGGGGAGAAGAGGCTTGCTGGGCAGGACTCAGGGAGTTGATGAGAGAGAGTGGTCAGAGCATGGCTACATTTAAACTGGCTTCCCTTTCCCTCTTGAAGCCCTGCTGGGAATTTTAGGTCAGGCAAAGACCTTTTGGGGAAGAAATTTGATTCTGCAGCTTTGTCAGGCTTGCCACAGCTTCTGAAAAAGGTCCTTGGTCCCCTATCTCCTTTTCAGTGATTCTTACAGTCTTTAGGCTTTCTGGCTAGAGAATTTTATTCCTTATGCCCCACACAGAGTGGGGAAGTTCAACCTGATCTTGTCCTATCTGCCTACCAGAACCTGCCCCTCCAGACCCTGGTCCGGTTCATGGTGGACATTGCCTGTGGCATGGAGTACCTGAGCTCCCGGAACTTCATCCACCGAGACCTAGCAGCTCGGAATTGCATGTAGGAATTCTGGTGGCCTGATGGGTGGGAGGCCACCTGGCACTTGTTAATATAACCTCCTGCCTTGGATAGAACCTCCTATGCATGGGGACAGCCTAGCTTTAGTAAGGCTCTGAGCATGGAGAAGACTTGAGTCTGTCTTTCAACACCCCTCTCAGGCTGGCCGAGGACATGACAGTGTGTGTGGCTGACTTTGGACTCTCCCGGAAAATCTATAGCGGGGACTATTATCGTCAGGGCTGTGCCTCCAAATTGCCCGTCAAGTGGCTAGCCCTGGAGAGCTTGGCTGACAACTTGTATACTGTATACAGCGATGTGGTGAGCAGGTTGGCCCAGTGGTAATGTGAATAGGGTGGATTGGTGTATGGGTGGATGTGCGGGACCCAGAACCACCAAAGTTCTGCCCTTCGAGCTTTGTCTAGTTATGAGACCCTTGAATCCCAGACCCTTGAGTCCCGGGATACCACTCTGCTTGGCTCAGGAAACCCAGTAACATTCCTTCCCAACCCTGATTCTATACTAGTGGGCCTTCGGGGTGACCATGTGGGAGATCATGACTCGTGGGCAGACGCCATATGCTGGCATTGAAAATGCTGAGATTTACAACTACCTCATCGGCGGGAACCGCCTGAAGCAGCCTCCGGAGTGCATGGAGGAAGTGTGAGTATCCTGGTTAGTGGGTTATGAAAGGAGCTTTGGCTGGTGGTTGCTACTGTAACAGCTCTCCCAGGATGAGCTCAGACCCACCACCTGACTTTTGTTAGTCCTTCTTTTGGGCCTCGTAGTTGAGTGTGAGGATTGCTCTCTGCCCCATATCACATATTTTCCCTGAAGCTCTCTGTTTTCTTTCTCTCTCCCCTTCTCATTCCCCCTCCACCCCCCTTTGTTTTCTGGACGGGAGAATGTTGAGACAATGTCCCTAGGCAGCGCAGGTTGGCTTCCAAACTCTGGAATGACAGCTATGAACCACCATGCCTGGCTCTTACGCCATATCTCCTGCTCCTGGCTTTTCCTGTCACTGTTGTTTCCAGTCTCTGGGGAGAAACAGGAACCGTGACAGGCAGAGGACAGAGTTGAATGGCAGTCCAGGTTTCCTTGTCACCTTTTGGGAACCTAGCTAGGCTACAAGCCTGGCTCTTGCACCCTATCTCTTCCCACAGGGCTGCACAGGGCCTCAGGAAGAACAAGCAGCCTGAGACTGTCTTTTTTCTTGGCCAGGACAGGCTGGGGAGGGAGCTGGACTTCTCCCTTGGTCTCAGCTTTCAGTTGAGGAAGAGTCCTGAGATCCTGGGAACCAGGAAACCAATCCCAAAGCTACCAGTTCGAAGTACTGTGGAGCAGAGCAGGACGCCAGCATAGTGTAAACAAACCCTTTTGACAGGGTGACATAATTGTCACTGACCCTAGATGGGCCCTTTAGGTATTCTCCCAGGCAATCTTTCTCTCACCGTATAAGGAAAAGGATTATTTTCTCCATTTTCGTGGATGAGGAAATAGGATTAAAGAGGTTAAATAACACAGTCAGGGTCACACAGCTATTATGTGACTAAGTTAGTACTCAAGCCTAGATCCTTGTGGTGTTAGTGTTTATGCTCTGAACCCTGAAATCAGTTGTGTTTGGTCTGTTCTTGTATTACTGCCTGACTCTAGTCAAGACAGGGTAGAGTGATCCAGGGGAATAAATACATGTTCCTTTTGTGATTTGGGGGTTAGGTCTCCAGAGTGTTTCAGCCATGAGCAAGCAGAGGAAAGCTAACCCTGGTGGCAGCAGTTTTCTCTGGGCAGTGGGTTTGAAGTGCCTGCGGCCTGGGTACCAAAAGAAAAAAAGTTAAATCATTTATTTATTTACTTATTTATTTATTGTGGTGCTAGGAATTGAGCTTAGGGACTGTATATAATAAGCAAGTGCTCCACCACAGAGCCCACCCAGCTCCTCACTCACACTTCAGATGGCAGTCTGTCTGAGTGCAGCAACCAGCCCTGCCCACGGTTCTGTAAGCAGAACTCAGGGCATCGTAGACGTTGAAAGCTCAGATCTCCTTGTGGCTGTACCTGGCCTCAGCCCTCTTCCAGAGCTGCAGGAGCTCTGTGCGAGCGAGTGAGCGAGCGCTGTGAGGAGCAGCAGGGACAGACCCTGGCGCAGCCTTCTCCCAGACTGGAGCTGCTATTGTCAATGAAGGGTGGGCGGACACTGGCCTCCCACCAAGCAGCCTGGTGGAAGGGTGCCAGTTGGCTTGTAGTGCAGCCTTGAGAATTATATCCCAGTCTGGCCCTATACCCAAAGTTCTGGACCATTCCCACAGCCTGTCTGGGGTCTGGCATGATTCTTCTGCCATTGGAACCCCGATTAGGAAGGCTTTTTTTGTGAGACAGTACTTGGGGCTTTTGCCATGGACAAAAGTCGGGCATTGTTAATTGCACTTTGACCTTCCCCACTAGAGGAGGGTGTGTGTGTGTATGAGAGAGAGAGAGAGAGAGAGAGAGAGAGAGAGAGAGAGAGAGAGCGCTGTAAGAGAATTTGTGAGGACAGAGAAGGAAGTGAGGGTGGGCTATTCTTGGCAGAGAAAGAGAACTGGAAACTACATGAGTGTGTGCTGCCTCCCTCGTGTGGAGACTTGGGACAAGAGGGAATATACATGTCTGCCCCCTCAGCAGATAACTGAGTCCAGGGTCATGGATATGGTAACTCGGTGATAGAATACTTGCTTAATATATACTAGGCTTAATATACTAGGCCCTAGGTCAAAAAACAGAAAAACAATCCTGGCTCCAGTCTTTTGTGTAAGATAAAAGTACTTTTATTTTAGTCCCCTCCTGAGACGGTCCAGAAAAAAGCTATGTACTAGCCCCTGTGGCTTCAAATCATAGTCCTGTGACTTTGGGGAATTTGTCTCACTTATTTTAGACTAGACTCAAACCAGCTGTACCAGCTCAAACCAGCTCAGAGGTACTCTAGACTTCAGATCTTCCTGCCTCCACCTCCCAAGTGCCAGAATCATAGCGGTGTAGCGGTTACGAGGAAACTGGTCCTCCCAGCCCCTCCTCTCACCTTCCCTCCCTCCCTCCCCCTTCCCATGGATATCAACCCACCTTGGCTTATTAAGTTGCAGTAGAACTAATATTTTTTAAACATTTATTTCTGAGCCGTGTGGTGGTGGCACAGGCCTGTAATCCCAGTCCTCAGGAGGAAGAGGCAGGCAGTGAACTTGGGTCCCTCGCAAAAGCACCACTTGGAACTGCTGAGCCATCTCTCCGTGCTTCAGTTTCCATATTCTCAAATAGGAACTGTTAAATGTAGGGCTGGCAAGATGGCTGAGCAGGTAAAGGTGCTTGCGACCAAGCCAGAAGGCCTAAGTTCGATCCCACAGACCCACGTGGTGGAAGGAGAGAGCCAGTCCCTGAAACGTGTCCTTTGACTTCCCACAGTGTGCTGTGGTACATGCATGTGTATACATTTACACACACATATACACATACACTACATGCATGCATTTTAACCCGATGCATATGCATGGTTATCCTTCTACAGTAGTGTTAAAGAGTTGTTTTCCCGCTTTTGTTCTTGCCTTCTTGCCCCCGCTCTGTCCCCTCACCCCTTCCCTCCTCTCTCTACACATGCTCATGGCCAGCCTCTACTTCTCTACTCTTCTTCTCTGTTCTCTCTCTCTCTCTCTCTCTCTCTCTCTCTCTCTGCCTTTCTCTGTCTCTACTACCCTTTCAACTTCCCTCCCCATGCCCTGAATAAAGTCGATATATACTTTTAAAAAACTGGTTTTCCCAGCCTGGTAATGGCGCGCGCCTTCAATCTCACCACTAGGGAATCAGAGGCAGGTGGATCTCTGAGGCCAGCCTGGTCTACAGAGTGAGTTTCAGGACAGCCAGGGCTATACAGAAACCCTGTCTCAAAAAAACAAAACAACAACAACAAGACAGAGTTGTTTTCCTGTCTCAGTTTCATGTGACTTAGAGGTCCTCTGCTCTGTGGCTTCTATGTCCCGATTCTCCTTTTTACCTCAGGTATGATCTCATGTACCAGTGCTGGAGTGCCGACCCAAAGCAACGCCCAAGCTTCACATGCCTGCGAATGGAACTGGAGAACATTCTGGGCCACCTATCTGTGCTGTCCACCAGCCAGGACCCCTTGTACATCAACATTGAGAGAGCTGAGCAGCCTACTGAGAGTGGCAGCCCCGAGCTGCCCTGTGGAGAGCAGTCTAGCAGCGAGACAGGGGATGGCAGTGGCGCGGGGGCAGTAAGTGGCATCCCCAGTGACTGTCGGTACATCTTTAGCCCTGGAGGGTTGGCCGAGTCACCAGGGCAGCTGGAGCAGCAGCCAGAAAGCCCCGTCAATGAGAACCAGAGGCTGTTATTGCTGCAGCAAGGGCTACTGCCTCACAGTAGCTGTTAACCCACAGGCAGAGGAAAGCTGGGCCCCCTGGCTCTGCCGGCCGCTGTGCTGGCTGACTAGGCCCAGTCTGATTATAGCCCAGGCAGCAAGGTATGGAGGCTCCTGTGGTAGCCTCCCAAGCTGTGCTGGTGCCTGGACTGACCAAATTGCCCAATCCCAGTTCTTCCTGCAGCCACTCTGGCCAGCCTGGCATCAGTTCAGGCCTTGGCTTGTGGAGGTGAGCCAGAGCTTGTTGCCTGAATGCAGGCAGCTGGCAGGAGGGGAGGGTGGCCATGTTTCCATGGGTACCATGGGTGTGAATGGCAGTAAGGGAGGGTAGCAACGGCCCTGTGGGCCCCTACCCTCCTGGCTGAGCTGCTCCTACTTTAGTTCATGCTTGCAGCCACCTGCAGTCTGGAGCTCAGCACTACCCACCACACTTGGGCTTAAATGTCAGGTTTGCCCCTCTAAGTCACAAAGAGATGTCCATGTATTGTTCCCTTTTAGGTGACGATTAGGAAGGGTTTGGCACACTTGGGTCCCTAAGCCCTATGGCAGGAAATGGTGGGATATTCTCAGGTCTGAATCCTCATCACCTTCCTGATTCCCCACCCTGCCAAGGCCTGGAACTGGCTGGGTGGCTCTGAAACATGCAGGAGGACAAAAGGCTACAGAGATCCGACTTCTAAAGGCAGGGTCTGAGTCCGGCGGATGGAGGGGTACTAAGGGTATGGCCCAGGAGTTAGGCATTCCAGGACCCCTCCACAATACTACAGTCTGTCTGAGCATGCTACCCAGCCCCCAAATATCCCAAAACTAACAGAGGGAGTTTTGTCTGAGCCCAGCCCTTCCATATGGTGGCCCTTAGGTCCCTTACTTTCCTCTCTACATGGACATCCTTGTTTGTCCCAAGTCTCCAGAGAGAAATATGCCTGATGGCTGATGTGGGTAAGAAAAGTTCCTGGAACCAGGGCTGGGTCTAGGCACCACAAACCTGGAATGCACGAGGCAGGCTCTTGCTGTTAGGAACATTTCCAAGCTGTTAAGTTGCTGTTTCAAAACAAATAAAATTGAAATATAAAGAATCAGAGCTTTGGTTTGTTTTTTTAAATTACTAATATTGGTTTTTTGGAGGTTTTGTTGTTTTAAGACAGGGTATCCCTGTCTTAACGAGGTATCCCTAGCTGGTCTGGAACTCACAGAGATGGACCGGCCTTGTCCTGAGTGCTGGGATTAAAGGCATGTGCTACCATGACCAACCCAAGGCTTTTTTTTTTTTTTTTTTCTTTCGAGACAGGGTTTCTCTGTGTAGCTCTGGCTGTCCTGGAACTCACTCTGTAGACCAGGCAAGCCTCGAACTCAGAAATCCGCCTGCCTCTGCCTCCCAAGTGCTGGGGTTAAAGGCGTGCACCACCACCGCCTGGCCGGCTTTGTCTTTTAAATGTTTACTTTTTTCCCCTTTTGGATCACAAAACAGTGAAGCATCTTTGCATAGAGAAAAAAGTCCAGAAAAGACATGCCAAAATTTAGACAGTTATCTTTATATGATATGATTAAGGAAACCTTTTTCTTCCTGTATCTTAAGTTTTCTGAGTTAAACACAATGTACTTCTCACAAACAGATTAGATCCCAGTAACTCTTGCCATGTTAGAGATAATATATCATCTTTGTTGACAACTAGAAAGGTGTAAGGTGCCTGTAATCCCACCACCCAACAGTAATGACTCCCACTGGACTCTGGGAAATGCAAGCATTTTGACTTTTAAGTTGGAACAGAGGTGCCGGGCGGTGGTGGCGCACGCCTTTAACCCCAGCACTTGGGAGGCAGAGGCAGGTAGATTTCTGAGTTTGAGGCTAGCCTGGTCTACAGAGTGAGTTCCAGGACAGCCAAGAGCTACACAGAGAAACCCTGTCTTGAAAAAAAAAAGTTGGAAAAGAGACTCTACACGCGCTACCAAACATTTCTTTGGGTCCTCATCTCTTTGCCCATGTGGGAGCCTGGGAATCAGTAGTCAAAGAAAGATGAGCCTCTTGAAGACTAGAAATACCAGAAGCAGAGTTGTTTCCCAGTATTTCCACCTGCAACCTAGTTTCAGTGTGAGCTCCTGCAACAGGAGACATGAAGATCATGCCTCTGCGGGGAGGGGTGGGGTGGGGTGGGGGAGGGTGGGGGAGGTGGGAGGGTGGGGGGGTGGGTGTGGGGTGGGGAAGCTGGGAGAGGCAGAGCCACAGCCCTTCTGGCTGAGGGCAATGGAATGAGGTAGGCCCTTCCCAGAGCAAGTGTCCTGAAAAACCTGTTGCTGGTTCTACAGGTCGGGTTCCCACATAGCTACTGAGACTTGAATTAAATACCACGCACGTAGCTTTTCAAATATGTCTTGCTATGATTAGTTTTAACTGTTTAAGTGGTGCATGCATGTGTGTGTGTGTGTGTGCGCGCGCGCGCGCACGCACGTGTGAGTGCTTGCATGTGTACGTCTGTGTGTGCGTGTGATTAACTGAGAGATAACATTGGGAGTTGTTGACCAGAAGTTCCTGCTTCTGCGGGGAACCTGGCACATGCTAGATAACTGTGGCTAGGCTTTTCCTACAGCGTTCCCAGAAGTAAGAATTTAACCTCCATGCTCTAGGACAGGAGAGAGGCGGAGGATTCTCTAGGAATGAAGTAAACTGGGAAGTTAGCTGAGTGACCACCTCTTCCCAGCATTCCTGGGAGCACCTTTAAACAGGTGGCTAGTGATTTTTTCTTTTTCTTTTCTCTTTCTTTCTTTCTTTTTCCTTCCTTCCTTCCTTTCTTTCTTTCTTTCTTTCTTTCTTTCTTTCTTTCTTTCTTTCTTTCTTTCTTTCTTTCTTTCTTTCTTTTCTTTGTCTGTTATGTTTAAGGCCAGCCTTGTGCATTCTAGGACAGCCAGAGCTACACAGAGGAACCCTGACTCAACAAAACAAAACACATGTGTTACTACAGTTTTTCTTAATTTCTTTGTTTTGTTTTGCTTTACTGTGTTGCTCTAGCTGATCTGAAACTCACTACTACGTGCACCAGGCTGGCCTCAAACACAAAGGCTGACCTGCCTCTGTCTTCCTAATGCTGAGATTAAATCCTGTGCCACCACACTCAGCTCTTCTCTGCTTTTTAAACATCTTTCTCGTCTCTTTTTTTTCTTCTTCTTTCTGAAACAGGATTTCCCTGTGTAGCCCTGGCTGTCCTGGAACTCACTCTGTAAAACAAGCTGGCCTTCAATTGCCTTTGCCCCTGCAAATGTTGGAATTAAAGGTGTGCTCTACCCCACCCGATTTTATACTTTACACCCTGACTTTTTTTCTCTCTCTTTCTCTCTTTCTCTTTCTTTCTTTCTTTCTTTCTTTCTTTCTTTCTTTCTTTCTTTCTTTCTTTCTTTCTTTTTTCTTTCCTTTCTTTCTTTCTTTTTAAATATTTATTTATTTTATGTATATATGAGTACACTGTAGCTGTTTTCAGACACATTTCTCCAGCCCCCTTATCTTCTTAACAAGATCTCACTATGTAGCCCAGGCTGGTCTCAAACCAAAAGTCCTTGCTAACTTCACCTCCCATGTGCTGGGATTACAGATGCGAAGGACCTCATCTGGCTTTAGCCTGTGTTTCTAACACGCTCACTACTCATTGTAGGTGCTGCTGTTGAGAAGACTACACCAGGACTAAGCTCCTTTAATAATTCAGAAATATGCAGTGAGTTTTTAAAAAGACTTTATATGATTATTTAACAATGTAATATAAATGGAAAACAAGGAAATGTTTCAACTGTATTAAAGTTTAATTTTTTATTTTCTTTTATTATTTGCATAATTGCAGAAGACTTGAGTTTGATTCCCAGCACTCATGCAAGTTGTCTCACAAGAGCTTGTAACCTTAGCTTCGGGGAGATCTTATGCCTCTGGCTTTCTAGGGTGATTGTATTCACAGGCACAAACCCACAGTAACACATGCAAATATACACAATAAAAAAGATACATATAAGGGACGGTGAGATGGCTCAGCAGTTAGGAGCACTGGCTGCTCTTTAAGAGGATCTGAGTTCAATTCCCAGCACATGGTACCTTACAACCAGATCTGTAACTCCAATTCCAGAGGATCCATCATCCACTTCTGGCCTCTGTGGGCACCAGGCATACATGTAGTATAAAGACATACATGTATACCCATAAAATTAAGTCAAAGTACCAGGAAGACCCACAGTGACCCTGGGCCTATCCTGAGCCTGCTGAGCCTTTAACTCTGACTGCCAGGGCTGGGAGGATGAGTTGGAGCCCATTCAGGGGCTGGTCACACGCAGGGTCACATGTGACTTCTCTTTGCCCAGGCCTTGGCAGGGAAAGGCTCTGCCGGGTTGAGGGGACACCATCGTCTTTGTCCTCGGTGTGGCAGCTCTCCAGCTGTGAGTAGAGCAGGCGCCCAGGCGGCTAAGAAGAGCTGCGGGCCTCAAGAGTAGTGACCTCCTCCTCCAGCAGGAGCCCTGCATCTCCAAGTCACCTTAGTCTAGTTTTTCAACCACTGAAGACCAACCACGCCTTTTTTGAAACTGTCTGAGTTTGCCTCCTCTGGTGGTTTAACTTCATCCCCTAAGTACCGACTTGATTGAAAGGAATACAAATGAGCCTGTGCTCCAGGTTTTTATGCCCAAAAGCTTATCCGCAGGAAACTGTAGAAGTCCGTCTGTACCTGGAAAGCAGGGAGGCAGGAGACTGGCCCTCGGCCCTAGTTAGGTGGCTGGTAGAGACCAGGATCAGGTAGGTGGTCAAGGTCTTCCTTGGTTGTGTAGCAAGTTCAAGGCCAGTCTAGGCTACCTGAGACCCTGTCTCAAACCAACCAACCCCAAAAGAGATGGGGCTAGTGGCACAGGCTCATAGTATCAGCTATGCATTTAGAGGCAGGAAATTCAAGGCCTTCCTGAATTACAAAATAAGTTCAAGGTCAGCCTGGGTATCTATGCTGTCTCAAAATAAGAAATAAGATTTAAAAAGAGAGGGAGGAGAAAGAGAAAAACAATGCACTGTCACTATGTTGCTCAGGCTGGCCTCAAACTTCTGAGTACAAGCAACTCTCTAGCCAGGCAGTGTGGACTACAGGCATGAACTACAGCAGCCACCCCAACACCCTGACACCACAGTGTTGTTGAAATTTTTTAATCCTAATTTGAGGTTTTTAACCCTGTCTTTGACCATTTATTTTCTGAATTAAAAAAACCAGGCTCTCTCTATGTAGCTCTGGCTGTCCTGGAACTTGCTGGCCTTGAGTCACTTGACCAAACTGGCCTTGAACTCACTGGGATCTACCTGCCTCTGCCTCCTGAGTGCTGGGATCCAAGGTGTGTGCCATCATGCCTGGCTCTAGGCCTTTGTTTCTGAGATAGGGCCTCATGTGCTTCCATTTGTTATGTAACCAAGAGTGACTTTGAACACCTGAATACTAGGATTACAGGTGTGTGTACATGCTCAGATTTATGCAGTGCTAAGGATTGAACCCAGGGCTTCATGAGTGCTAAGCAAGCTCTCTACCTTCTGAGCTACCTCTTCAGTTCTACAGCTTTCTTTATATGACTAAATAACTGTCATCCTGGGCAGCTGTCAGTAAGTCATCTTATTTCTCCAGGTTTATTCTGAGGTGAAGGATGTCATCCCAGTCCTTGAGGACTGAGTGTGGCTTTAGCTCCCCTTGCCTGGAGGACGGTCTGCCTTCTGTGCCTGGCTGTCTACTCCCCTTCTTTACTAGGGGAGTAAACAGTGACCTGGAGCTTCAGTTCTGCCCTTGTGTTCCCATTTAGTTGAAGGTCCCAGAGATGGTAATCTTGTTTTTGAACTCAATACTATCATTTTCATGTGTTCTTTTTGTTTTATCAGCAGTTGCTATGCAATTAGAGTGGGGAGCAGTGGAGAGGGCACCCAAAGAATGAACTTTCAGAGCCACTTGATTCAAAGTATCCCAGTGAATGTCTATAAATTCGCAATGAGCTAACAAGACACCCTGAGGGACAAAACCGAGGAAGGGATGGTTCCTGATCTAGAAGGGATTAGAATTTGGGGAAAGACAGTGTCCCTTAAAATACCACT